GTTCATAGGTTTCCGGAGGCAAGCTATTACGGAAGTGGATGCCACTCCTGCTTCCAATTTTTCAGTCCATAGTATATTTAATATTTTTCACCAATTCCACAATTCCACTGTGACACGGATGTGTCAAATGCGTTAATGGTTGGCTACCCAGTGCTGACTGAGAGTGGGGTGGACCTTCCCGATTAAACAAGCGTGGAAGGAGGAGTGGCGTCACTGAGTCAGAACTGCCTCATAGCTGACTCTCTAGCAGGTTCTTTGTTGTTGTTGTTGTTGCTGTTAAAACTGCTGTTGAGCTCTAGGTTACGCAGAGACATCCTATGAACAAGATCTGAACCCTGTCCTAGCTTGTGTCATCCTCACACTTCTTACCACATTTAAGCCCATTATGACAGTCACTGTGTCAATACACTAGTCCTCTCTTTCACCAGACCTCCACCTTTCCAAGCATCATGCCTCTTCCCAAGGAACAGCTCCTCCTAGCAACATGCCTGAACCATGTGAGGTGAAGCTTCATCATATTTGCCTCCAAACAGCACTCCAGCTGCACTCTCTCCAAGACATATTTTGTTCTTTTGGCTGTCCATGAGATGTTCAGGGCTCTTCTCTAATACCACAGCTCAAAAGCATTAATTCTTCTGTCATCCTTATCCATTGTTCAGCTCTCAGATGCACAGCAAGCGATCGGAAAGACCATGGCCTAATTCAAATGCACCTTTGTCCTCAAACTGCCATCATTTCTCCTCAATAATTTAGAGAGGTCTCTACAGCAGACTTTCCCAGTGCAATACATCTCCTGATTTCCTGTCTCCTGGTACCAAAGGTGTTAATTATGGTCCAAGTAAAATGAAGTTGTTGACAGTTTCAATCTCTTTTCAATCTATCACAGTGTTGCCTATCAGTCCAGTGGTTAAGAATCTTTGGGGTTTTTTTCCTTGACATTGAGATACAATCCATACTGAAGGTTTCATTCCTTGATTTTCTGCAACAAGTGTTTCAAGTCCTTCCCTCTGTTTGGCTTCTTGATGCTTTAGTGCAATTTTTGTTTCATTAACAATCAGGTGTAAGCTGTTTGGTCACTTTTACTTAATTAATAATCTGTTGGGGGTTGGAAGTCTCTTATTTAAATCAATTAGGACCTGGTGGGCAGACCTTCTGCTATTAGACTTAGAAACTAAATTGTCAGTACGTTGTGTCTGGGGAGAACATTGTCCTAATTGGTATAGCACTCATCTGTCAGTTTGCTATACCAGGATAACTTGTGGGTTGCTGTGGTACTGAAAGCTATGCCACCAGTGTGTAAAATGCCACAAGGTTACCCATGTTGGACAGGTTTTATTAGAGCTCCCAGATTAAGACAGGCTAGGAAGCAGGATTGGCTGTTTATTTCTTAAAAACCAGACTTCTGAAAACACTATAAACAGTAGAGGTATGCTGATAGTTATAGTAGTAATGGTAGAGTACAGTCTGGAAGTCAGTAGACATGAGGAAAAATAATGGCAAATATCATTTAATAACTGGAACATGCAATGTACACAGCATGAATACTAGAAAACTAGAAAGTATGAAAAATTAAATGGAACTCATGAACATCAACACACCAGGTATTACTGGGATGAGATGGACTAGCTTTGACCACTTTGAATCAGATACTCATATGCTATACTACCCTGGGAATGAAAACCAGAAGAGAACAGTGTTGCATTCATAGTGAAAAAGTCAGCAGGTTCTTGGAGGCTGTAAATCACTTTGGAGGAGAGAGTGCCCATCTTTTTCCCAGGGAGTTACTGGTGAATTCGTACCACCAGAGAGGGATCACCATTAGGTTAGCAGTATAACTTCCTGTGGAAAACATCACCAGAGCTGCCCTAAAATGGTATTAGCAATCAAAAAAATCACTGATTGTACATCCTTCTATCATGCAGTCTTCAGCCTCATTTCTGTCACCAAAGTCATATTTCCCAAATACCAATCCTTCTCTTTTGTTACCAATTTTTGTTCTCTGGTTACTAATTATTATTAATGCACCCTGATTCACATTTTATTAATTTCAGACTACAAAAGGTTTTAGAAATTCTGTTTCTTCATCTTTGGCTTACAGGTTCATGTATAAATTTAAGTAACTGCTGTATTAACAGGTCTTCCCTGTGTGCATACGGAAATATCATACACACACACACACACACACACACACACACCCCATGCTGTACTTCAGGACAGATCTTGAAAGGTTCTTTCTGATGATTAATATGATATCATTCCTCTCCAATTTGTCATTCTCAGGATAGTAGATCAAAATGGCAAATTCCAGCTCATTTCAGTTGACAAAATGCTAGGACATCAATCTTGATGCATTTTTACTTCATTTTTTTACATCTTCTAATTTTTCTAGATGCATAGTTCACATAGCCCACATTGTAAGTATTCATTGATGTTTGTAGCTATTCTCCTGAGCGTGTTAAAAAGAAAAGAATCTCAAACTCAGGACAATGGTGTCAAGTCCAGTCACAGTGATCCTTCACTGGATTTCTCAGGCTCTACACATTAATGGGATTTAGGCTTACTAGGCTGTAGGTGACAATTCCACGTTTTTTCCAACCGTAAAAAAAGATGCTGCTTTTAGGTCTGGCTGTTGTCATCTCTCACTTTTCTAATCCTAAATGTTGTTGTTGTTGTCAGGTGCCGTCGAGTCATTTTCGACTCATAGCGACCCTATGTACAACAGCCCTAAACCCTGCTCTGTCCTGTGCCAATCACACTGTCTCTGACACTCCCATCCCGATTACCCCAGTCACGGAATCAATCCACCTCATAGAGGGTCTTCCCCTCCTGCGCTGTCCCTCCACCCTCCCAAGCATGATATCCCTCTCCAAGGACCTGTCTCTCCTTACAACATATCCAAAGTATGTCAGACAAAGCCCCAGAATCCTTGCCTCAAGGAGTAACCTGGTTTAACCCTCTCCAGGATGAACCTGTTTATTTTCTTGGCAGTCCATGGTACAAATCAAAGTTTTTTTGCAAATGTACCATCTTAACAGCATAGAGGATACAGCAGGCAGAAGAAGCAGGGTCTTACTTGTGTTTACTCATCATCCAACCCTGGCTTTTCACATTCAAAACCAGACCTGCACAATGACAAAATGAAAACAGATATCCTTCCACTAAGTCTTCACATTTAATAAAGTAGTATATCCTGATGCTGAGATAAGTTTCTCCAACAACAACAACTCTTCACATTTAATAAAGTGGTAAGTGCTGATGCTGAGATAAGTTTTCCCAGTTGGACTTCTTTAAAATAGTCAGCACAATACAGGTTAAAAGATGCAGTCTTAAGAAAGGACTTCCATTTACAAAGTAACACCTTGTATAGTTCTTCCACTTCTTGAGCTGGATTTTCTGACCTAGAGTAATAAAGCTTTTTAAAGAAAAAGTTAAGATGCAGGAAAAGAATTCTGAAAATCAGGCTACTCTTAAGTGACTGCATAAATGTCAGACTGTTTTTACTTTGAAGTACATTATTAAAATATATCTTTGAAATCAAGCATGTCTTGTGTCTTTAAAGGGAAACCATGGAAATCAAAGTGGTACTTGGAAACCAAAATACATCTTAAAGGGAGCATTTAGTATGTATTTGCCAGTGATTATTTACTGATTAGGGTTAACATAGGATTTTTAATATAATTAAAATTAGAGTCACCACGATGCCAAAAAATTGATGCTTTGGAAATGTGGCATCAGTGAAGAGTACTGAATATCCCACGGACTGCCAAAAGAACAAACAAATCTACCACAGAGAAAGTACAACCGTGGGGCTCCTTTAGAGGCAAGGATGGTGAAACCTGGTCTTACATGCTTTGGAAATGCTGTCAGGAGGGGCCAGTCATGCTGGCAAAGATGGAGAGGGTCAGGGGAAGAGAGGACAACCCTAAAGAACATGGCATTTCTTTCACAGAGACACACAAACCCATGACCTGTTGCAGCTCACTCCTGTGAAAGTGGGAACAGAAGTCTCGCCTCCTGTCAGGGAAGTGGCTCTAACACTGCATCACCAATGACATGACTTAAAGCTATCAATGGTACAACAAAATTTCTGGGAAGAACATCATTTTAGGTGATCCCAAACGTTCTGTATCTGAGGGACACTCTCATGTCAATAGTGCAGAAGGTCACAAAGGCCAGGACAAGATTTACTCATGAACTTGAAGATTCAGCATTTGCCTATGTGATAGAAGGTGCCTATCAACATTGAAGCTCCACGCCCATCATTATTATTGACCTTCAAAGCATAAACTTTGAATGACATAGAATTATTCCATTCAAGCACTGCCATGTCCTTGCCAAAGAACAGATCCTAGATAGGGCTTCCTTCATAGGACTCTCAGAGCACAAGGGCAAAAAATTTAACCAATATAATCTGACAGCCTAAGTACTTGTTTGAGGGCATCCCAGACATCACATGTCCATTCCAAAAACAACCCAGAGTGCCTCATATAGCCTTCTATTTTCATGATGTACCAGTAGATGAAAATTTGTAATTTGCATACATTGTATTTGTTAGCTTTACATGAAATGCACATTTTAACTAATACTTATTTGCTACTGCTGTCCACAGGGTATTCTTGACATGTTGTTATTTGCCATCAAGTCAGAATAGACTCTTAGCTGACTCTCAAAATTACAAAGAAGGAAACTGCTCTTCTTTCTCCTACGGAGCGGATTTGGGTTGGCAGTAAAATTCTTTGCCCACTAGGCTACCAGAGCTTTTGACCTGAGGAGGCTGTAAAACCTTTCTTTTTTGACACTGCTTGATCTGTGTCGATTGTCAGCCTCCAGGTTAGAAGCAGAGCACTCCATCTGCACTATCCAGGAGCCTCAATTAATAATAACAAGCAACCACAAACATGACTACCATAATGCATTTTACAAATGTAAACAAAAAATAAGACAAAATAACCAAACCAACTGTATTCATTTTCCTCTTTTTTCTTTTCTTTCTTTTTTACCTTGTGGTAAAACTTTAAGGTAATTTCTTCTGACATTCAGTTCTCGCAGGGACCTTAGCTGTCCTATTTGATGGGGCAAAGCTGTGATCTCATTACAACTGACATCCTGTAAAGAAGGAAAGAGAAATAAAAGTTACTTTTCCCAGGTAACCAACATTCCATGCAGGATCCCCTTAAGGAAGTGGAGGACCGGGTGACACAGGAACACTGTAATGTGCTCTCAGAGTAGCAAGGTAGAAATCCTCTAAAGGGGAAAAAAGGAAGCTAAGACAGATGTTAGTAACAACTCTGCCAGCTACTGCCTCACATGCTCCTTACTGAATTCTCACAAACCTGTGGGGCAGAATTGTTATTGTTAGGTACCTTCAGGTCAACTATTACTCACAGAGACCCAATGGCAAACAGATCGAAACCCTGCCCTGTCTTGGGTCACCTTCACCATCTCTGCCAGGATCAAGTCCATGGTTGCAGACACTGTCCATCATTACATTGAGGTTTTCCCTCTTTTTTATGGACTCCCTACAGTTCCCAGCATGACGCCTTTTCCAAGGACTGACAACATATCTAAAGTATGTGAGATGGAATTTTGCCACCCTTGCTTCTAAGGAGCAACTTCTGGTTGAACTTCTTCCAAGACATACTTGTTTGTTCTTCTGGCAGTCCATGGCATAGCCAACAGTCCAACATCATAACTCAAAGGCATTCATTCTGCTTGGTCTTCCTTATCTACTGCCAATTCCAAAAATGTCTATGGAGCAATTGAAAATACCATGGCTTGGGTTAGCTGCATCTTAGTCTTTAAATTTATATCCTGTTCTTTAGTACTTTAAAGAAGTTCTTGACAATAGCTTGCTGCAAGGCAACACAACTTTTGAATTCTTAACTGCTGCTATCAAGAGTGTTGACCGGGGATCCCAGTAAAATGAAATCTTTGACAATTTCAATCTTTTCTACACCATGACCCTGCCTACTGGTCCAGTTGTGAGGATTTTTGTCTTCTTGATTTTTAGATATGATCGTTGTACTCTTTGATCTTCTGTAGTAAGTGCTTCAAGCCCTTTTCACTTTCTGCAAAGTAAGGCTGGGTTATCTGCATAGTACACATTGTTAATGAGTTTTCTAAGAATCCTGATCTTCAGTCTGTCTTCATATAGTTGTTTCTCAGAAGATTTGCTCAACATACAAACTAAGGAAGTATGGAGAAGAGATAAAACCTTTAGATATAACTTTTGTGATCTTGTTCTATTTGAATAACTGCTTCTTGGTCTATGTACAGGTTTTATATAAAGACAATTTAAGTGTTTTAAAATTCTCATACTTCTCAATGTTATCCATTATTTATTATGATCCACACAACTGAATTCCTTTGCACAATAAACAAAAAACAAGTAAACTTCTTTCTGGTATTCTCTGCTTCAGCAATAAATAAGGCCCAGGAATTTATAGAGTAATAACTGAATGACTTCTGCAAACTGATACAGCCCTGGACATGCTTACTGGTCAATGTCAATAAATTTGGAAGGCTGCTGGCTCCACAGTCAACACTCTTGACACCAGCAGTCAGGAAATAAAAAAGCGTATTGTGATGGGAAAGTCTGCTGTTAGGGACCTCTCTAAAGTACTCAAGAGCAACAGTGTCTCTCTGGAGACTAAGGTGCCCCTGATACAGGCCATGGTCTTTGCAATCACTTGTTATGCATCAGGGAGTTGGACAATGACTAGGGAGGACAGAAGGATAGTTGATGCCTTTGAGCTGTGGTGCTGGAGAAGGGTACTGAATGTACCATGGACTGCCAGGAAAATAAACAGGTTCATCTTGGAGAGGATTAAACCAAGCTACTCCTTGGAGGCAAGGATTCTGGGGCTTCGTCTGACATACTTTGGACATGTTGCCAGGAGGGTCAGGTCCTTGGAGAGGGACATCATGCTTGGGAGGGTGGAGGGATGGCGCAGGAGGGGAAGACCCTCTATGAGATGGATTAATTCGGTGACTGGGATAATCGGGATGGGTGTGTCAGAGGCAGTGCGATTGGCACAGGATAGAGCAGGGTTTAGAGCTGGCTGTTGTGCATAGGGTCGCTATGAGTCGCAAATGACTCGATGGCACATAACAACAACAACAACAACAAACCAATTGGAAGAGATCGCTAATTGTTTCCTTTTAAAAAACAGATGATCCAACAGTGAGTGGAAATTATTGTGCAATATCATTAATATCAAATGCAAATAAAATGTTGAAGATTATTTACAAAGCCTAGAAGAGTCCATTAGATGAAGCAGAATTAGAAATAGAATTACTAGGATAATATTTGCAAATATAGAAAAGGATGCCCCTGATTTGTGTTGACAAAAAGCACTGCATATCCTATGGACTGCCAAAAGAATTTAAACAAATCTGTTTTAGAGGAAGTAGAGAGTGCTCCTTACAGGCAAAGACAGTGAAACTTCATCTCATGTACTCTGGGCATATTTTCAGGAGAAGCCAGTTCTTGATAAGAGGTATCAGTGGAACAGAAGAAGAACCCCAAGGAGATAGGCTGACACAGAGACTACCCACAATGAGTTCATGCATGATAGAGATGGTGAGGACGGTGCAGAAAAGTGCAAGATTCAGATCTATTGTTCATTGGATCACTGGAGGTTATAGTCAACTTGATGGCACTTACAAACAACAACAACATGGAAACTGAGAGACACAGAAGTTAAGTCAGATGCTAAAAAGTGCACAACACCAGGGTGAACACTATGAATGACTTACTGGTAAGGCACCATCTGTATAGCACAATGCCTCTAAAACAGAAGTGAGATCATAACAAACCCAAGCTCATCAGGTCTCATATTCACAGTAAAAAAACCCCCACATACCACAATCCCACAATCTGAAATATTAATACATTGTCTGGATGCACTATTTATTTAAACTGGAGTTCTTATAGGAGGCTTAAGACCTTTGGCTGAAGCCCTTGATTCTGGAATCTAAGAAGACTAATGCTTTTTATTCCTTGACTAGAAACACCTCTTGACATATGCAAAACAGAGGACACAAAGCTTGCTGCTGCTGCTGCTGGTAGCTGCCACTGCATTAGCTACAACTTGCAATGACTCATGCACAATGGAATAAAACACCGTCCCATCCTGCATCGTCCATGACTGATGACAGATCAGATGGCTGAGATTCACAAGGTTTGCAGTGGCTGATTTCTGGAAGCAGGTTGCCAGGCCTTTCTTCCTAACCCTTTAAGTCTGGAAGCTTGCTGGAACCTGTTCAGCATCACACACATAAGCTTCCACTGGGAGATGTCTGGTGGCTGCACATGAGATGTACTGGCTGAGAATCAGGCCTTCTGCGTGCAGGATCAAGCATCTCCCACTGACCCTCTAGTGTCACTCTATGTTACCTTTCCTTCCATTATTTTCTCCTCCAGTCCTAGTCTTCTTCTTATGTTTGGCATGTCCATCCTGGTCTCCACATTCCAACTACTGTTTTAGTCTAAGTCAGTATTAGCTGTTAGCTAGACATCATAACAGCCTTCTATCATGTTTCTTTACATCAATTCATCCTAGAGTCTAACCTTTAGAATTGCCAGAGAGCAGACAAATAACCTTCATTATGCTATTCATCTACTTAAAAAACTAAAACTTTTATCACACACTACAAGATAACGTCCTATTTCTGTCCTATGCCGGTGGCACAGACTCTATGGCCACATCTGTTTGTTCAACACTGTCTCCAGAGACTTTCCACTGTGCCCTACGCTCCAGCCTTGTCACTGACACTTGCAGTTCCCAGAAGGTGCCAAGCTGTCTCACATTCCCAAAACCTGTTGAGGTTCCTTCCCTGCCTGATAGCCTTGTCTCCAGCATGGTCCCCTTGGGCCACCCACTCCCCCTTTAAGACATAATTTAAGCTTAAGGGCGCTCGCTTGCGCTCTCTCTCTCTCTCTCTCTCTCTCTCTCTCTCTCTCACACACACACACACACACACACACACACACACACACACGGCTTTTCTCACTTGGGCCACTCTAGTCCCACATCCAAGGAGGGCACACATTTATTTGGACTCCTGTAGATGTTGGTGCAGGCACTTCTAACACCTATTTGCTCATGAACTGCCTTCCTCCCTAACCTCGTGGGCTCTATGATAAGAGGAACTTTATTCATGCCTTGCTCCCTGCATTTAGCAGAAGATCAGGTAGAACAGCTCATGGCTGAGACCTTAGTTGTTCCTACTTATATACCTAAATGCTCTGCAGGACCTGTCTGGCAACACAGAATCACAGATATATTAAGCAATAAATGAAGCCATCAAGGGAGGTCCTGAAATAGCCCACGTTGCTTCTGAACCTGTAAAGCCCTTCCATTTTCACCTTAAGATACGTGGGAATCAGCTTCCACTCATGGTGGTGATGCCATGTTTGTCATACTAGAACTGTGTTTCGTAGGGGCTTCAGTGACTGACATTTCAGATGCTGACCAACAGGCATTTCTTCCAAGGTATTTCTGGGTGGTCTCAAACAGCAAACTTTGGTTAGCTGTGAACACCCTCCAGGGACCCCGCTTTTCACCTAAGAAGTGACAAAGATTCATTTCTGACACCTGTTTCACATTGACCCAGATGAAATAAAACTTGGAAAATCCCAAGGCTACACATTAGACTAGAACTGTAAAAAACCAAACCAAAGCAAAACAAAAAAACCCACCCCAACAAAAACCAGCCCTCCATTCTCATCGCGTCTAGAAAGGAAACTCAACAAAACTGTCAAAATGCTGATGGAGGGGTTCAATAATGCAGGTACAGATTATCTTTCCTGACAGACGAGAATAAAAGGAGGATATGGGGGGTTTGGTGGTAGAATTCTCCCCTCCCATGCAGGAGCCGCCAAGGCACCCCATGCACAACCATGGGTGATCTATCAATGGAGGTGTGCATGTTATTATGGTGTTGAACAAACTGTAGTGCTCCCACTTCACTATCATTCTCTTTACTCAAGGTCTAACAGGGAAGCAGTGTGTGATGGGTTAAGAACACAGGTGTTGGGGGTATCACACCACTCTGGCTGTTGCTGCATTGCTCTGGGCCAGAGAAGTTACAGCAGATTTTGA